ACCCCTGAGGTGATGCCAACATTGCCTCATTGTATTCAGACTCACTTCCTCCTATTTCCTTCTCCAGCCCGCTGACCTTTGGGGGGGCCTGAGACTTTACTACAGACCCCCCAGGGAAGACAGAACAGCCCTCAACAGGCAAGAACGGGAGTCAGTGTCTTGGTTAAGCGGCCTCTGTCCTTGCAGGACTTGGCCCAGGTGAATACTGGGAGCGATTTCTAGTCTAACGGTCTCCACCAAATATTCTGAAAACAAACAACATCTGTGCAGATGCTGAAGTATCTGTAGAGCAACTCTGGGAACTGTGGTATTTGAGGCTCGCAGTGAACGCCACATACGTGTACTTTACACCGTTGTTTTACACGTGGAGACCTGAGAGCTGGGTGGTTGCAGCACCGCAGCAGGAGCCTGATGCCCCAGAGCTGGGCAAGGGGCGGCCTCAGCTGGGATGCGAGGCTGTGCGTGCGCTTCCTGTTCCTTCTGCTTGTGTGACCTTGGGCAAAAGAATGCTGTCCCTGGAGTTTTCCTCCAATGGAGGACACAGACTGACTCACTCTGCAGCGTCCTCTGGACTGTATTCTGCCAGCCTTTACTAGGGAAGCGCCTCTTGGAGGGCCCCTCATGCTAGATCAGATGTTCCTTCCCCCGCCGTGTACAGTTCTTCCAGCTCAGTCCTTACCTCTAGTTTTTAAATTTTCAGTTTGAATGAATGACACTGACTTCACCCAGCTATTTTTACTTGCCCCAAGTGGACTCTTACCACCCTCCCCCAACGGTCTGCAGCTTCTCTGAGGACTAACAAAGGCGGAGACTGCAGTGCTGATGAACTGAGAGTCTCAGAATCTGCCCACCACCTCCAGAGCCTCCTTCCTGGCCCCTCCCGGTCAGCCACCAGCATCTCTGCCATGCGACCTGCAGTGACCCCCTTTTGCTCGGGTATAAGACTGAATGAATGAGTTATTTTTTCAACTAAAGAAAATGTCCTCACTCTCACCTTCTCGTCCTTTCTCTCACTCCTAATCTCAGGACTTGCATTTGTCATCACCCCTGGCTTTTCCTGCTTTGCTTTCCCTACACACAATTCCCTCAAGCTCCCTCCATTTTTCTCCTCTCTCCCAATACAATTTTTGCTGTTCAGGAGTTTGGGTGTTCCTATATATTCGATTTTAGGGTTCAATTTCTTTGAAAGATACCGCTGGTATTTTGATGAGGATTGCATTAAAATCTGACCCCGCCTGGGGTAGGTGGCTGTTTGCCTCCGTTGCCTCCCACCCGAAGCATGGACATCACCTGGGCCACTAAGTCCTTCAGTGGTGGCTCTCGGTTCTCTTCTATGGGTCCTTCATGTCCTAGGGCCCATTCTGAGGCACTTACTTTCATAAATGGAGTGATTTTCTTGATTTCACTAGCTGCTTATTTATTGGTTGCTTATGTAAAAAGCTGTGGGTTTTGTATGCTGATTTTGTGGCCTGCCACTTGTCTGTTCTCATCTACGGCTTCTACAGTTTTTTTGCCCAGCGAGTGCATCCGCTCCCAGGTGCCTCCCCAACCTAGAACAGACACGGTTGAGTAGAGACACTCAGCAAATACTTGTGCAATGGTGCAATGAGTGAGTGAGTGAATCTACTACTGGCTGACATTACGAGTCTTACATCAGGACACGTTCACGAGACCTACTGCGTTCATTCAACAAGTATTTGTCTGGGGCTCACTGTGCCCCCAACACGGTAGCACATGCGTTAGGGGCGGGAGTTTCTCAGAATTAAGGATCAAAACGCCCCTGAAAGGAACTTTACTGATGTAAACATTTAACTTTTTCCCTATTAGTTTTGCTTTTGGGGGAAGTGTGCAGAGATGAATAAAACACAAGGGTCTATGGTGAGAGGCCAAGTGGGGCGAGGTGAGGTTCTCACTAAAGGAGAAAACTGGGCTGGGGAAGTGCATCGCCCTCAACCGCATTCAGCTCCGCTGCAGACAAGGGCCGCAGCACCAGCTCTGGCGTCTGGTACACTTCAACCAAGTCGCAGCTCCCTCTCTCCCTCAGTAGCGTTCAATGCCAAGTCGAGGGAGCCCCTCGTGGTGAGCCCTGCTCCCTCCACCCTCCTTTCCATGCTTTTGGAGGGACTGGCTGAAACCTACCCGCTCAGGGGACTCTGAGCCCGGAGCCACTGCCTGACCCTGGTCAAGGCGCTCCCACAGCACTCAGCATCCACGAGAACATGCTAGATGTAGCCCCGGGAGCAAGCTGCTCTAGCATAACAGTGATCATGCCCTCTGAGTCCCCTCTTAATTTCCTTTAAGAAAAAAGGCAAGACGCGAGCACAGAAGAAAGGGAGAGTGGAGAGAGAAGAGTGACGGTCAAAAGTCACACTCATTCAACAGGAAACCGTGATGTGCAACGTCCCTGTAGCCAGTGGAGCTGCAGGCTCGTTTAAAAGATGCATTTCGTAGGCTCAGCCCACACGAATGTAAACAGGGACTAAAAGCAAAACCCAAGTGCTAACACATAGTCGAAACTCGGGTGAAACAAACCACAAGTGAAAGCCCCTGTGTGCACAGTGCGTTTGGACGGTCGTCGGTTATCTCTGCACGGACGCAAACTGTCGCGTGAGGCACACCCTTACCACAGTGTCCTCTGTCATCCTCGTTTGACCACACGGGAGCCGTCGAGCCTGGCTCGGTCTTGGCTTCCACGATGGGACATTTCAACATGCGAACTTCCGTCCCGCTGGCAGCCAGCAGATCCCAAAGCACCTGCACACTGAGACCAGCCCAATGTTCTGTTTGTAGGAGGGAAAGCTAAGAGCCGGGGTGACCCAGGGCCGTCTGAAGGCCTCCAGCTCCCGTGACTGGACCTTCCACGCCGGGGAAGCAGCCCAGTGCCGAGCGAGGGCATCGCTCCGTTGGACCCGGTGAGTACGTCCTGAGGGTCTGTGCGTCTCACCCCGCTTCCCAGCAAGTGAGGATTTCAAAATAAGTTTCTTTTTAAGAGTTTCGTGTCACTTCACCTTACCTCCGCAGCGTTTTGTAACTCAGTCTCCTTTTTCCAGTATCTTAGCTTGTCGATCGAATGACCCCTCTCTGACAGTCTTGGGACAGAAAGACGTTGAATTCACCAGCAACTCGTCCCAGATTTCCAATTGCTCCCCATTTCAGCTGAGGGGCCCAAACTACTCCCATGCTGGCGCCAGAGGTGTGCTGCAGAGCGGGGCCTCAGGCTTGGTGTCCCTGCTGGGTCCAGAGCTTCTCCCCAACCCGCCCCCCAACTGTACCATCCCCCACGGTCTCTGCTATTGATTTACTAACAGAGTCAGAAGTAAGCCCAGGCCCCTGCCCACATCCCAGCTTTGGTGACCACACCTGCTTCTCGTGAACCTCGCCATTACCCGCCTCCCTCTCAGGCGGCAGGGGCTGGGTCCTCGTGTCCACGAGGGAGCCACTTGACCTGATCCGCTTGACCTGATCGTTCTTTTGGGCTCCTCTGTTTCTTCCTGAGCTTTGTCTGCCTGGACACAGAAGGTCTTGCAGGGCCCTCGGGTCCACCCGCTGGTCAGTGCCCCACTATGCTTTCCCCACGGCCTGCTGGGATCTGATGCCCCAACTCACTATTTCACTCACTCGGCAGTTACTGTCCGTCACGGCTTTCAAGACCGAGCTGCAAACTTGACGCGAATGCAGCCCCTGACTGCTGTGACCTCGAGGTGGGGAGCCTAACTTAGCAGAGGAAGCATTATCAGTGGGGGTGCCCCGAGCAGGCCCCACAGGAGGGAAATGATGGGGAATACGGCAGTTTCAAAGGGAAAATGCTAGAAGAGGGGCTCAAAAAAAAAAAAAAAAAAGAGTAGCTACAGAAGGCACAGAGTGAGCTTGATTCGTGAAGTTCAATTGTCTGCGGAGCCTGAGCACTGAAACAGGAGCCTGAGCACTGAAACAGTGTGGGATGGCCTGAGGGGGTGCTGGAACTGAAAGAACAGAGATAAGGACTCCTGCTGCAGGAGCAGAGCTTTGCACCTAGTAGGGGCTCACCCACAGCCAACCAACACCCTCCAAGTATGGACCCCCCTTAGTCGGCTGATAGCTGCCAGCCGAACCAGCCTGAGAGGCTCTCCCTGGTGAGCTGTGATTGCCATCTGGGGTTAGTATGCAAATGAGGCCAGCCTCCCTAACGGACAGGTCAGGTGGGGCTTTGCATATTTCAGAAGAACTGGAAATGCTGTGATTTTGCAATCCACTGCAGAGTGACCCAGACGGGACCCTCGGGGGCGAGAGTGGGCCTTTCAGTGTCCTCTGCTCGTGTGGAGACAGGGAGCCAGGCCTGTGCCTCGCCCTCTGTCCTGAGCCGGGGGGCCCCACGGGGCTCCGACCTCCTCTGGGCCACCCCTCCCTTCCAGCAGGCTGCAGGGGATGGGGTGCCCCCTGCACGAGCCGGCGCCCCCCAGCCCAGGTTGCCCAGGCCCCTCGTTGTGGCTGTGAAGGGCTGGTGGCCAGCACGCTCCAGCGAACCCACTGACTGCTTCTCGCCTTCCCCACTCAGTAACCCCCAAACAACTCCAGGGGACCCCCAGGAATGTCCAATGTCCCGCTTATCGCCCAGGTCCTTGCTGAGACCCTGCTGGGGCTGCGTCTCACTGGCACAGACAAGTGGCGTCTCCCGGGCCCCCAGGCTGTGTGGTCCCACCCTCGCCACTCTGCTCCCAGAGGTCACTCTGGCCCCCTTGTTTCAGAGGGACCTGCCTCAAAGACCCGGCTTTAAATCCCTACAGGTGCAGCTATTACCAAAAAACCACGGTCACCCACGAATCTCTGTCATATTTAAATCAGCAGAGGGGTGGGGCGAGGAGGAGCCAGCACCTCCCGCCTGCCCCGGGGCCTTGGCTGGCTGGGGCACAGGGCGACCCTCTTACTGCTCCTTTGGTGTGGGCAGGTCCCGCCGCCCTGACTCTTGTGTGCGTTTTCAGGCTGGTTCTTCCGAGGCGACAAACGCAGGCGCGAACACAGCAATGGCAGAGCCCGAGGACTCTGTGGGTCAGGAGCCGTGGCCAGGTAACGTCCCTCCCCGGTGGGGCTCAGGGCGCGGCGGCCATCCTTCCATCAAGGGCTCCGCGCTGAGGTGCACTGGCTGCTTGTCCGTGTCAGAAGCTGCTGCTCACGCACGTTTACTAGCCGGTGTAAACGGGTTCTCACGGTGTAAATGGGTTCTCACGCGCGTTTCCTAGCCGGTGTAAACGGGTTCAGCCGCTAGTAAAATCGCCCGACCGCAGTGAGGTGCTAGGCTGTCTGACCGGCTATTAGACAAGGACCCCCACTTCCGCCCTCCAAGAAGCTTCCAGAAACCGGCTGGGATGTTCTGAGTGTTAACGCTCTTAGGATGGATGAGCTAAGCCCCTGGCGTCGTTCCTGGACTTTTGGCAGAAGGGGAGCGAGTCGGGTCGTGAGGTGCCCACTATCGCCCTGCGGATGGATGTGGCACCCTGGAGCCCAGGGGAGAGCCACCCTAGCAAGGCGCCAGTGACCCCCTACGTGCAAACTGGGGGCTGTCACATCCTTGTGCTTTGAGAAACGAGGGGCAGAAATGTCCTCCCTCCCAGGGGTGAGCTCCCTGTGGGTCAAGGAAGCAGCGGTCTGGGTCAGCCAGGGAGTGGCCGGCACCTCAGACGGGGCTGGGGCCGCCGCTCGGGGTGCCTTCCCTTCACCCCTGAAAGAGAGGCTGAGTGGCTTGGCAAGCGCTGGCCAGGCAAAGGCCTGGACGGCAGCGAGGCCCATCTGGGGCCAGCTGTCTGCTGAGTTTCCAAGAGGGCAACGGTGGCAGCAAGACGCAACAGCGGGCCAGGCTGAAGGGACGTGGGCACTGCTCTTGCCCAGGCTCATTCAGTGGAAGATGCTGGAAGGGCCAGGAAGCGATTGAGCAATGGCAGGGAATAATAAGCCGAGGGTCCAAGTTCAGGCCGGTTCGCCCCAGGGACAACTCGGTATAAAAACCTTCAACGGCGTAAACCCAAGATGGACGGCTTCACCTTCCAAGTGGTTTTTCGTTTTAGAGGCCGAAGAGAAAGTCGAAACCCGCTGTTTACCCGACTTTCCCACCCTGAGTGGAGAAAAGCTTTCCTTCGTTATCCGACGAGCTTCAGGCCTCCCAAAGCCGAGACGGGGTGGGGACTGCAGGTCTCCCCAGCGGTTAGGCGACGAGACGCTGCCGACGTTTCTCAGACCAGCGGCTCCTGCTTTCTGAAGCCAGCAGTGAGGCCGGACGTGCTTCGGGGCAGGTTGTGGGGACACTCTGGAATGCCAACACGGCTTTGCAGCACAGCCTCGAGTGTTCTTGTGCCCCGAGCGCCCAGGCCAGGCCCCGCGCCTGTTCTGGCCTCCCCCAGAGCTGGTCGTAAGTCAGAACATCTGGGAAAGGAGGGGCCCAGGTGGGGGCTCCTTCCGCTTACTGGCGGCCCGAGGCGCAGATTCGGGCTTCACACACTGCCTGCCTCTGCCCAGGGGCACCCTGCAGGGCGGCAGCTGGCCAGGACCAAAGACAAAGGAGCCCCAGGGTGGAGCTGGGCCCTGGGGTCCATCTCCCAGGCACCCCGCAGCTGTTTCCTCTGGCACACGCAGCCCCAGGAGCTACTGACCCCAAAGACCCAGCTCATGCCCCCCTTTCTGACAACAAAATACCACCCACCAGCAGTTTTCCCAAGCCGGGGGCAGGCTTTGATGATGCCCTTTCCCGGGGGCGAGGGCTAGGGCCCCTCCCTTCAACCCCGAAGGAGACGTGGACGAAGCCCCCCCAGAGCTGCCAAGTCCTGCCTCTGGGGCATGTCCACCCCTGCCCACCCGAGGGACTCTGCAGTCCCCCTTCATGTTAGTCTTGAAGGGCACGCTGGTGCCCACGCTCCCAACTCGCTTTACAGGTGGAGAAACTGAGGCTCAGAGGAGCGGGAGAGCCCTGCCCTGGGCTTGTGTCTGTCCTCTGCCTCCTCCATGGGGTGACTGTCCCCAGTTGACAGCCTCCCAAGCCTGTCTTCACCCCTCCGCCCCCCACCCGGGCCTCTCCCACGTAGTTGTTTGCTTTCCTCAAACTTGGCATCTGGCGAAGACTCTTGCGCCATGCCGTCTTCTGCCGATTTCCCAACAGGAACTTCTCCCCGGGGAGCGGGGGTGGCCCCGCTTGCTGGGACTGGGTGTGGAGATTCTGGGCCTGGCCCGCGCCTGCTCCGTGGAGGGGGGGCAGGGTCAGCCAGACCCAGCTGGCATGCAGGCCGGCTGGCGTGCAGGCCGGTCCCGCCAACTGGCCGGTCCCGCCAAGTGGCCGCACCCAGCGCCTCTCATTCGTGCGACCGCTGTTTGTCTGCAGATGACAGTGATGTGCCTACGAAAGAGCCTATGAAGAAGAGGCGGCGGTCGGATCGAGACCAGCGGTTCCGGGCGTTTCCCTCCGCGGAGCAAAGCGCCCTGAAGGAGTGTGAGTGACCCCGAAACACACACAGCTGGCAGCCAACATCATTTTGAAAAGTGTAGCGTGCGTTTATCAATGAATGGCCATTCTCGATGGGGTGCTGGGTTCTAGCGAAAGGCCGCACCACCGTCATCAGACCAACTGCCCGTCCTGGGAAAGCTGAAACCGGGGCAAAAACAGAGCCCCCCGGACAAGACCAACAGACAACATCCCTGCAGGGGAGTCATGGCATACCATACGACAAGGTTACGTTCTTTAAAGCCAGGCCATCTTACGAGAGCTATCAGGCATTTCCCGTTGTAAGAGGCGCATGAGAAAATGCTCAGGGTGCGCCTGTGAGCTTGGGTGTGAGCCCCCTGGAAGAAAGATCCAGAAGCATTTTCCAGAGGGCTGGCGACGTGCTTCTTAATTCTCATTAGCTACTATTACCAGGAGGGTGAATTTTATTTGAACTGATGTTTAAAGAAGAACAGTTCTTCTTTGTTTACTCTATTTTCGCTAGCACGATATTACAAATGAAATATCAGTGTGCCCACAAAGGAGGGAGAAAGGGTGAGGGCCAAGGAGTGGGCGCGGGCTGCTCTTCTCCAGAGCTGCTGAAATGCCCACAGGCAGAGGAGGTTAATTCAGGAGCGGGTGGCCAGCGGGCGAGGCCTCGTGGCCTCCGTGGACAGGGGACAAGGCCTCTCCGGGCACCTCTGGGTCTCGGGGTTGTTATCCAAGCAGCCTCTTCCCGCTCAAAGCAAAGCCCGAGGAGGTGGTCGGCGAGACGTGCAGGCTTAAGTGATGTCCTTGCGTTTCCCCTGATGGCCGTAGGAGAGAAGCATCTAGAAGGGAAGAGCTCTTTCTTGGCAGAGCTCGGGCTTTGGCCTCAGGGTTTCCGGCAGCTGGCTCCGGGGTTTGTCGGATCAGCTGCTACGACCCCACGGGCCTCTGTCTCTGGAGTCCGAGAAGCTGCGCTCTGGCGAAGGGGCACTCAGCTCCGTCCTTTAATCTCTGCAGCAGCGGGCAGGCCCTCGGGACGCGTCGCCCTGGCCCTGGCAGATGCCCCCTCTTGCTTTCAGATGAGAGGCTGGAGTCCCGGACCAGAAGGGTGCTGAGCAGCACGTACCAGAAACTCCTCCAGGCCGTCTTCCTGGACGACAGCATCCCCAGCAGCGTCAAGTACCTCATGTGAGTCCCAGGCCCCGCCTCTCACCCCGCCCCTTCCCTGGGGTGCTCACCCCGGGGCACCCTCTGAGAAAGGGGCTCAGGCCTGTCACTGTGGGTGTGGCAGCGTGTGACCTCACGACCTGTGCGTGGCCTCGGGGGCCCTCCTGTGGCTGTGTCTGTCAGGGGCTGACCTGTGCAGAGAAGCTGCCGTTAGCATCAGAGCAGGAGAGGTGAGGCCTTAGTGCTGCCCAGAGAGGCCTGGGCGGGCAGCCGGCCTGGCGCCCCTGCTCACAGCCAGACGGGCAGGAGAGAACCAGGACGAGCTGCATTTCCTGAGAGGGAGGGAGCTGGAGGGAACCAAGAGCAGGGGAGCAGGGGAGCAGGAGCACAGAGACACATCTGCACTGATGTGCGAGTGTCTGATAAAGGAAACACTAAGGAAAAACCTGAGAGTTTCTTTCTTTGTATTTTTTTAAAGATTTATTTATTTGCACACAGAGCTGGGGTACAGGCCAGAGGGGCAGGGGCGGCGAGAGGCTTCACCAGAGACAGAGCGGGGAGCAGGACAGGCAGATGGACAAAGTGCACTGCTGAGGGGAGCAGCGGGCGGTCAGGAGAGGTCTGCTGCGCCCTGGGGGTCACCTCCAGGGCGGGGATCGAACTGGTGCTGAAGTGGCTTCAGCAGTGCCGTGCTGTAACCCGCTGCGCCCCCAGGGAGGGCCCTGCCTGTGAGTTTCTTGATCCACTTAGCTGCTGTTACCACGAGAACTCTATTTGAACTGATATTTTAACCATTTTCCTTGCTCTATTGCCCTTTATTTTAGAGCATGCAATATTAAAAATAACATACCAGTGTGCCCAAGATGAGGGCTTGGGTCACGAGGGAGGCGGGAGGGGGGGAGAGGAACAGGGGTGTGGTGGTGGCACAGAAATCTCTCACGAGCATCACCGAGAGAGCTGAGTGAGGCGGCAGACGGGGGAGCAGAGGCGCGACTGACACACGCAGGTGGAGCTGCTAAGGGCTGAGCACTCAGCCCCAGGCCTGCTGCGCGCCCGTTGGCAGGTGACCGGCGTGCCTGCCTGTACCCAAGGGCATTCCCCGATGCTCCCGTGAAGTAGGAGTTTTATCATCACCCCCATTCTTTATTATTATAATAGTTTATTTTTACACCATTTTGTGCCTTTTCCCATCTCAGTTGTCATCCCCGTGGGCTTCCCATCACCAACTCACCATAGTCCGGTGCACCCCCCACCCCCATTTTTTACCCCATTCCCTATTCCACTCTGTAAAATGTCTCTGGTATACAGCTGTTCATCATCATTATTATTTTCCTGCTGGTCATTTATGCTCCGGCTATGAGTGAAACCATCCAGTATTTTTCCTTTTCTTTCTGGCTTATTTCACCGAGCATGATCCCTTCCAGCTCCATCCATGTTGCTGCGAGAGGCACGCGTTTTTCTTTTTGATCGCTGAGTAATATTCCACCGCCATCGCCCCCATTTTCCTGAAGCTGAGGCCCACAGGGGCCACGGCAGTGAATGCCGCTGGTGAGTGGCAGGAGCCGAGCCGTGGCGACTGGCCCAGGCTGCACTGAGCTCACGGTGCGTCTCCTCTCCATGACTCGGTGCCTCTCCTGCTATCCCTTGGCCTCGTGCATTAATTCTGCTTCTGGAGTCAAGACGGTGTCATTTCTACGGAGCACCCGGGCGTGTCCTGGGGGAGTCAGTCCGTGCAGGGCACCACGGCCCGACAGCCGCAGCGTGCAGGCTTTGACAGGCCCTGGGGGCGCAGACTTCCCAGAGGAGGCCAATGCCTGCGTCTGGCCACGTGCCCACCGTGTTCTCCTGCCCGTGACACTGTGTCTAACACCTGCTCTAGAAACCGGCTTCTCGCCTTGATAGAGCAGCCATCGTGGGACCCAGTCTACATCGGGTTGCTTGGAAGCAGCGGGGCTGGGAAGAGCTCCCTCATCAACGCCCTCATCCAGCAAGAAGTGTTCCTGCCGGTGTCCGGGGAGAGCACACGCCCCTCGTGTATCGTGCAAGTGAGCGCAAGCCGCCGTGAGCAGTATGAGGCCAAAATCCACCTGCTCTCCGACCAGGTGAGGGCTGCCGCCCTCCCGCCCTCCGCCTCTGCCTGTTGCCTGCCTCCCTCCTTCCTCCTGCCCGCTCTTCCTTCTGCCCCCTCCGAGGCGTTGGCATTAGATTCCTGTCAGCACAGCTCACACCTCGGTTGGATGAAGAGCACTGGGCTGAGAAAGCTCGAGAGGACTGGCTGGGGCCTGTCACAGCTTGTGATGGACTCGGGGAGCCCCTTTCTTCTGGGGGCTCTGTCTCCTCATGCACCAGGCAAGGGGGGCTGGATTTGATGCTCTGATGACCTGATTCCCAAGAACAAACCCCGGGGCACAGCGGCTCCTGCCTTCTTGTTTCCGTACCGGAGTCTGAGGGGCTCGCCCTGCTGTGCCTTGGCAGGAGTGGAAGGAGGAGCTGAAGAACCTGACCAAGTTCCTGCACAGGCCGGAGGAGCTGGGCGGCGAGGAGGAGGCGGCGTGGGGCAGGGACGAGGCGGCCGACGCCCTCTGGAAGCTGCGAGCGCTCTATGGACGAGGGGCGGAGAGGAGGGGCTTCGAGGAGCTGCTGCGGGCGAAGCCCAAGGGGAAGATCCCCACCAGCAGAACCATCACCCTCAAGGCCGATGAGGTGACTTTGATTTTTTATTTTATCAAGCATAATTGAGGCCACTCGGGATCTGCCCAAGGGACATTGTTGGCCGTTGGTAGCTGCCCAGTTCAGAAGCACCCACGGGCAAGTCAGCCTTTCTCTCCTCTGACTCCCACATGGGCATTTTCCACATCCGAGTGGGGGGTGCTTTGGGCCACAGAAAAGACTAGCTATTGGTTGTTTACTTATGCATACAGAGCTGGGGTACAGGCCAGAGGAGCAGGGGCGGTGAGAGGCTTCACCAGAGACAGAGCAGGGAGCAGAACAGGCAGATCGATGAAGCACACTGCTGAGGGGAGCAGCGGGCGGGTCAGGAGGGGTCTGCTGTGCACTGTGGGTCACCTCCGGGGCAGGCGGGGATCGAACTCATGCCGAGTGGCTTCAGCTTCTCAGCGCTGTGCTTCATCCCACTGCGCCCCCGGGGAGGGCCTGGCTATAGTTGTTGTTGAGGATAATTAGGTTTCTTCTGGTTGCAGATAGAAAAAAAAAAAACGCAACTTGCGTGGTTTAAACAAGCCACTGTGCATTCACTTTCTCAAGAAGTCAGGAGGCAGTTAGTGGGCTGGTCGGGGCTCAGCGATGTGAGACCAGCCTCCGGCGGCTGACCTTGGCCCCCCACCAAGGTCATCGCCGGGCTGTGGCTGCGCTAGGCTCTGGCTCCACGGAAGGAACAGTGGACTCGAGGGGCCCCCAGGCATCGCCCCTTCCACCGGGGGGCAGGGCCTTTCCCACAAACACCCTCAACAAGTTTCCACAGGTGTCCTTCAGGACAGTGGCGTGGCCCTTCCCAGCCCAGCTGGAGCTGAGCGGCCGCGCCCTGTCTCGCGGCCACCTCCCAAACGCCCGCTCCTTCACGATACCACCAGCTTGCGGGCGGGCGAGGCAGCCCCTGGGCAGGAACAGGGATGCGGGAGTGAGGGAGCAGCCGTGTGCACCTGTTACCAGACTTTGTTTCACAAAATCGGAACCAATTTTAATCGCAATCAAAATGCCTGTGGTGCTGACACGCACTTTCCTAGCAGCGTGGGCTGAAGACTCTCACCTCTCTTCCAGCTCAACATTTCTCTCTCACGACAGTTACTCTGCTGTGCGCTGGCATTTGCTCCACCAGCGAAGAGCAGTTAATAGCTACGTGCGGTAAAGCTCTGTCATTCACTCATGCAAACGTAGCTTGGCAAATCTTCCTGGATAGTGCCGCTTCCTCCATGAATCCGGTTTCCTTCGACGCTTTACGTCATCCTTCGCGTGAACAGGTTCATTCTGTCTAAACAATTTTAATGAGGTCAGGGCAGCGAGAGCTGGCAAGCACAACGTGGCGTGTCTTACACCTGCACGGGCCTTACTCTTTAGAGGAGAAAGGAAGGGCCTCCCTGCGACCTGAGGCGGAGGCTGCACACGTCCGAAACAGTGACGGCCAGTCGAGGGCTTCTGCGTCTTCCCGCTCCTCGCTCTGCACAGCCGTGGCTGCTTCCCACTCCCTGCTGAGAAAGTTCCTTCTGGGTGCTGCAGGCTGGCTGGTCCTGGCAGCAGAGGGCAGAACGAGCTGCTCAGTGGGTGAGGATCAGCTTCGGGGGATGGGACGAGTCCCCTGGCTTGGGCTTGGGGGAGTCTGAGTGTGTCCCTGCCTGCACCCTCCTCAGGGCCTTCCTTGAGTTAAACTCGCTTCGAGAAAGGCCTCAAGAGTCTTAAATTTCTCTCTTTTATTTATTTATTTATTTAGATTTATTTATTTGTGCATACAGAACTGGGGTACAGGCCAGAGGCTCAGGGGCTGTGAGAGGCTTCACCAGAGACAGAGTGGGGAGCAGAACAGGCAGATCGACGAAGTACACTGCTGAGGGGAGCAGCGGGCGGGTCAGGAGAGGTCTGCGTCGCCCTGTGGTCACCTCCGGGGCAGGCGGGAATCGAACTCATGCGGAAGTGGCTTTAGATTCTCAGTGCTGTGCTTTGACCCGCTGCGCCACCAGGGAGGGCCAAATTTCTCTCTCTTTTATTTTATTTTATTTATTACAAAAGTTCAAATTTCTCTTTTTTAATGGAGGCAGTGTTGGTTTACAGCTCTGAATACGATTTAGGGGTGCGGTTCACACCTCCTCAGCCATATGCCACCACACCACACCCCTCACCAGGCGCCAGGCTGCCACATCCCTGTCCGACCCCCACCCCGCCCCTCCAGTAGCCTCAGGCCTGTGGCCCTATTTCTAGGGTTGCTTGGTTTCCTATAATCAGGTCTTTTGTTTGTATGGGCCTGAGTGAATAGGTCAGAAGGAGGTCCTGAAAGTTCTCTAAGCAGATTCTGAAAGAAGCTTCTCTTTGGCCTCCCTCTCGAATCACAGCTGCTGTCTCTCTGCTTAAGCTAAACTCTCAGAGAACAGACTTCCCAGCCTCTCTCAGTACCGCTCCTTAGCTTCTGACCACGGGACACCACACGTCACCAGCGTCTGTCCCCTGCGCGTCCTGGGACAGACTCACAGCTGCTGGCGCGAATGTGTCCCTGTCCCCAGAAATGTTTCCGGAGGAACAGCAAGCTGAGAATGATGAAAACATGCTGAAATGCTTATTGCCCTGATCTACTTTGACTTAGCCGCTGGCTTTGAAAACCCGAAGGCTTAATATTAGGCTCAACTTTACTCGGAAAGCGCAGTCACTGCACCACTCTCAATTTCCTATAGCTGGGACTTTCTGGTAGTGAAAATATGTATATGCACAAAACAGGAAGAACCGGCCTCCCTCGTTTAGAAAGTCGCATCCCTTTAGAACCCAGCCCTTGAGAGGCCCTCCGTGGTGGCGGAGCGAGTTAAAGCGCAGCCCTGCAAGCTGGCTGCAGCCACTTTAGCGCAAGTTCGATCCCCGCCCTGGAGGAGACCCACAGGGTGCGGCAGACCTCTCCTGACCCACCTGCTGCTCCCCTCAGCAGTGCACTTTGTCAGTCGGTCTGTTCTGATCCCTGCTCTGTCTCTGATGAAGCCTCTCACCCCCTGCACCTCTGACCCTAGGTCTGTGTGCATAAAAAACTAAATCTTACAAAAAAAAAAAAGAATACAGCCCTTTAGAACTGACATCCAATGCTCAAGGTGAAATACTGTCTGATGCAGCTGTGACCCCTGACATTCCACCTCACTGACTTCGTTTTTTTCTCCCAGAAATGAAGGACTCTTCTAGGTCTTTGCAGACTGAGCCACAGGCTGCTGCCCGGCACCATCGCCCAGGGGCCTTTGGTGCGGCTGCTGGGCGGGTGGGAGAAGGGCTGGGGTGTGTGACCTCTCCTCCCCCTCAGGCAGCAGAGCTGTCGCTGAAGCTGGACCCTTACATCCGGACTCCGAGAAGAGGCTGGGAGGGGCAAGCCACCGAGACACAGATCTGGCCCTTGATCAAATACGTGGAAGTGACGCTCCCCAAATCAGAGCTGATCCCGGAGGGGGTCGTGCTGGTGGACATCCCGGGGGCTGGCGACTTCAACAGCAAGCGGGACGAGATGTGGAAGAAGGTGACTGAGCCCCTTGTCTGCCCCCACCATGCCTTCGCCCTCCCAGGCAGCGAAGAAGGCGATGTTGTCGGCGAAGGGATTTTCCGAGCTTGTTGCATTAGATCCTTCTGCTTTCAGTGTCCCGAGCCTCAGGGCAACAGGGGACAAGCTGGGCAGGCAGGCCTGGGAGGTGGACAGCGCGCGATGTGAGGAAACAGGACAGACTGGGCGAGGGAGGTCAAGACTGGGCAGAGCGGGGAAACCGGCTGCCAAGCTCCAGGCTCCGTGAAGCCAGGACACTGGTGGACAGATTGTGGGGTGCTGAGCACACGGGGGCGCCAGCGCTCCACCCCTCCTCATGAACAGGCGCATTTTAGCTTTAGGGCCAAGCTTGTCCATCGGACGCTTGCTAAAATCTCACTTGAAAAGGACCTGCAGCTGGTCACAAGCTCAGTGCCCACCGCTGAGGGCCAGGGTTCCCCGGCCAGACTGCCAGCATCTGGGGCCAGATTACTCCCTGCTTGGGGGTGCGCCGGGACACTGCAGTCTGCGTAGGGGCAGCCCAGGCCCTCCCCGTAATTGTAACAATTAAAAATGTCTCCAGACATCCCCTAGGGTACAAAATCGCCGCTGATTAGTACTCGGTGGTTTCGAGCGAAAAAATAAAGTTGACTTTTGAACAAATGCCAGGGTTAGCGTGCCCGAAACTCAGTTACTGAGAGCCCGCTCTTCCTAACTGACTAGAAGACCCACCAGCAACATCAGAGTTGATGAGCACATACTTTGCATGTTATCTGCACTATCGGCTGCATTCTTGCAATAAAGATAGAGAACGTGTTATTGAGGAGAGCGCAGTGGAGCAGAAACACATGCACAGCACTGGGCTGTGATTATCAGTGCTCTAAGTCTACTTTGTCTACCAGAAAGCCACGTAGCAGGGACTCGTCCCAGCTCAAACTTGTATTTTTAAGGGTCAACTGTAATGATTTAATTAGCAAGGCACAAATTTCTCACACCTTATGTGCAAAGCATTGTTCTGAGGAGCCATAAATAAACTCCATCCCCAACTTAGACCAGCTTTTCACTTACATGGAGAGAGACAAGTGAAAAAAAGAGAGAAATGTTACAAGGCGACACACGAGTTGTTGCATGAAAGTTGCATGTTCGTAAGAGCAGTATTTATGCTCTCAATGATAAGTTGGAATTCATGTTCACTGAACTTTGCAACTTGAGTCATACAGTCTCTGACTCCCTGCTGCCACTTGGTGGCAGCATGCTGAACATTCCAGGGCAGCCAAACATGAATGTGATGCCCTGGGGTGACAGCTTTGGGGTAGATGCACCCCCGTGGGAAAAACAGTAATTTCCCCTAAGGGACAAACCGAGGTAAAGCAAGCCGGGGATGGATTTGGGACTGGAGGTCTAGTTCTTGAGTTCTATCAACCACTAATGCCATAAGCACTCGTGACGCCTCTTCTGTGGGCCAAAGCTATGCTTGGGGTAACGTGGATCCCAAGCTGAAAAGCACAAACCTTTCCCTTCAAGTACCTCATAATCTGGGGGCCGGGGAAGAGGCCTGGCTGCACACGGTAACTGAATGGGGGTGCACTGACAGGTGCGTCCAGGTGCTGCAGGACCAAAGGAGGGAGGGTCAAGTCATCCCGCTTTTAGCAGAAACTTGCGCAGGGCCAGTGGGATGAAGGGAGGTTGAGGCGCACACACAGACCCGAGAGGGAGAGCGTGAGGCCCGTCTGCGCGTGCAAGCCGCTCCGTGTGGTGGGTGCGTGGGGGGGGGGCGCCCACGAGATGCGCCGCAGAGCAGGGCGTCGGGGTGCGGGAAGGGGTCCTGCCTCCGCGCCCAGCTGCCCTCTGTCCTCAGCGCCCTGTGCCCTGTTTCGTAGACCATTGACAAATGCTCTGTGATCTGGGTGGTCAGCGACACGGAGAGCGTTTCCGGGGGAAGAGCCCACGAGGCCCTTCTGCACGAGGGCATCAAGGCCTGCCAGCGGGGCTTCTGCAGTGACGTGGCGCTGGTGGTCACCAAGACGGACGAGCTGCCCCTGCCGGAATATCTACGGTGCGCTGGGCGGTGGGGTGCGGGTCAGTAACCACAGGGCTTTGGCCTGCCGTGGTGGTCACGGGCGACGCAGGGAAGTGACCGCTGAGGTGCAGGAGAAATTTGGGTGACGTCCAGGGACGTCAGGACCGTGGGTGGATTGCTTCCAGAATCTGCCGTGCTCCCCTTTCAGGGAAGCTGCTCAACACCCCATAGGCTGAACTCTCGGGGGCTGCAGGGGAGCCACACACAGGTGTGGGGTGCAGGTAGCGCCTCCTGGAGTTGGGTGGCGTGAGCCTCCCTCCCAGCCCCCAGTTATGGGACATGCGGACACCCCATAGCTCAAGCCTCTCCCTAGGCCTCTGGCACAGCTCAGCTTTGAAGGCTGAGTCTGCTTCTGATGTGTCTTCTTCTGAAATTTTAAATCTGTGGCTGCGTTTGTCAAGTTCTAGCCTTGGCCAAAGTAAGGTCACGGAGCCACAGTCCACAGAAGATCATGGCAGGCAGCGTAGCATGTTGGAGTCTGGCAGATGGGAACACACGCGCCTGGATCTCCTTCCCCTGAAACCCCGGGGGCTATGGCTCATCTTCCCTGTTGGGACACAGTGAACCCCGAGGGCAGTCAGCAGGAAGGAGCTGGGAGGTGCGGGCTGGGGGCTGGGGCAGGGGTCTCTGCGCACGGAGCCTGCTGGGGTCTCCTCGCAGCCCGGTCCCCAGCACTCACGAAGCAGACAGGCCCTCCTCCGCCAAGACAGAGGCGAGGGCTTCCCCCTAACTTCTGGCCCTCGTGGTCAAGGTTAGAGTTGTAGTCCAAGATTGCCGCAACCCCAAATTGCACAGCTGCCTCCTGTCTCAAGCGCTCCCTCCCCCGTGACCCCGAGTCCAGTCGAATGTACCAGACGTGTGCTGGGAGCTGCGGTGGGGGTGCGTGTGCCCTGGTCTCGAGGGCACCATCTTGAGAAGGGCGACAGTTCGCAGCACCCCAAGTGACAGGGCCGCACGCGACGGGCCAGGGTGAGACAGAAACACCACGGGGTTAGGCTTTCCAGCAAGCCCCGGACGGGTCAGAGGGACAGCATCTGGGCCCCACGAGAGCAGGCAGGGGCCTCTGGGGTGACCGCTGGCACTGACACCAGACGGCAGACCCACGATGACGCGTCACCACCGCTAAGTAATTGTCACACTCTTCTGATTTCATTTCAGGGAAAGAGAAGCAGGACCCGTAAGTATTTACTGCTTAGTGTTGTTGACGAGTAATTTGTATGTAAAAGTCACTCGCATGTCGTGTCTGTGTCATGAGGGTGCTGGACAGCCTTGGACGAGGTGTTTTGAAACAATGCCTTTTTATGACGACTGTCCTGTCACTCAGCCCGCCCACGGGCTGTCCACAGTGCAGAAGCGGTGACCCCGGGTCCCCCCGCTCCTGATGGCCCTCAGCGCTGGCCGTGACTGTGTTTCATCTTTCATTATCTAGCAGGCCGATCAAAGAGCGCGAGAGGCTGTATTGGAAAGAAATGAAATGATAAAACTACAGAGGAGTCGAATTCTCAAGGAAAAACTCAAGGTGAGTTCACAGACCGCCCAGCCCCCGCCATGTGTTTTTCTGCTTTTCAGCCAGAAAAAGGTTTTATTTTTATTTTTTAATGTATCATTTTGAATTGTAACATCAGTTGACAACACTTATGGCCCGGGCATGGGTTCACACCTCTCTGGATCTGTTATCCTCCCACACTGCCCAGACTCTGCTCCCTGGTTCATTGTCCCTCTGGGTCCCCGTCCCACTCTCCCCTTCTGGTAGCCTCGATTCTGCAGCTAGTTTTCAGGGGGTTGTTTTGCCTGCTCCTTGGCACTGTTTCTCTGTATTCCACACCTGCGTGAGCCACCTTGTGTCTGTCTTTCTCCTTCAGACTCAGTTCACTTGCATCATCCCCTCCAGCCCGTGTTGTTCCAAATGGCAAGATTTCCTCTTTTTGATGGCCGAGTGTATGTAAACACCCCATCTTCTTAATCCACCCCTTTGTGACTAGATCACTCAGATTTTTGAGAAACAAAAGGTTTGGGGCTGTGTAGCAAGCCAACCCAAAGCTTTGGAGACCATAACGACTTAGCTCTACTGGTCAACAACTTTGTGACCGTGGGCAAGTCCTTGTACCTCTCTGAGCTTCCATTTTCACCTCTGTAAAAAAGGGCAGTCGTAGTATGCACTGTGATGGTTGGCAGCTCCGAACGAGGGTGTGATCTCCTGACACATGCGTCCCGGTCAAGGGAGCGAACCCCATGCGGGCGACGGTGTGCTTGGCCAGAGGAAGGCAGGACCTGTGGGAATGCAGGTGGGGGCCTCCGGTCACTCTGGCAGCCCTGGAGGAGAGGATGAGGGAACTGGCCTCTGGAGCAGAGCCGGAAAGGTCCAGCCGCCTGCAGCAGGTGAAGAAGTGGGACAGAGGCCCTGAGGCGGAGCAGAGAGGCGTGGGCAGGGGCCACCTTGATTGGTGAGCAGAGGCCAGTGCTGAAGGGCCACAGGGCCCAGTGACCTGGGGACACAGCTGTGTTCTCCAAGACTGAGTCACCAATCTGTGGGAACCTTGGTGTTTTCTTCAATTATTTTTATTACTCTGTCAGTAAAACAGGCATGCACATAAAACTCCTTGCAAGCGTGGTATATACTGAAACTGAAGCCATGAAAACCATTCTGATGGGGTCACGAGAGAGTAGGTTCAGGTGTGAAATTATAACTTACCTAGGTTATAACCAGTGTCACTTCGACAAAATAATTTTTGAAATCCCTGTCTATCCAAAAATCCTGAAACCAATTTTAAGAGAAGCACAGGCTGAACAACAGAAGTGATACCACAGTAGGGGATGTGACTGATGGTGTGGTTTTGTGGAAACTATATATTCAGAGCTGGCTGTGTGGTGAAGACGTGGCCCGGGTCCAGTTCTCCAGGCCATTGCTCTCTGCGGCTTGACTTCAGTAGTGCTGATGCCGAAAGGCCTGTTGCACAACGTGGAGTCCAGTGTTCCAAGGCTTTTGTTTCTCGCTCAGCAGAATCAGACCCCACACTGACGCCAAGGTCATCTCCCAAGCAGCTCTCCAAGCCTTCTAATGAGGCACTAACTCGGGAAAGCTGTTCTTAGTCTCTCGACGTGTTCCCGTTGGCCTGCAGTTTCATGCATTTTTTGGGGTTTTATTTTTATTTTTTTTGGAGGTTGAACCAAAAAATCCCTCAATGCACAATTCCCAGTTACACGTGCTGACACTAGAGGTGGCGGCTCCGTGTGCAGGAGCCAGGCCTGGTTGCCGTGGCAGGGGCTGGCTCTGACAGGGAAGGGCCGGGCCCTTCAGGTCTGCACCCCTCCGCCTCCGCGGGCAGATGCTGCTGTCATGAGTTACTGTGAGATTTTGACAATATTGGGAACAAATTTAATTTTAAGTCGTCGGAAATACGAGGCAGACGTTGAATACAGCAGGTCCTCATTCCGCATCGGTTTGCTATACTGCTGGTGAGAAAACAAAAACAAAACCTCTGGCTAGAATTCAGTGAAGACGACGTCCCTCGAGAACCTGACTCATCACTTCACGGTCGTGGTCACCAGACACCCCCGGTCGACGCCAAGGGAGGACGCGCCGTGGCGCCGTGGTGGGCCGTGGCGGGCCGTGGCGCCCTGCGCGTCGTCAGAGAGGAGCCCGCCCGGAGAGTTTGCTGAGCAGATACCTACCGCGTCCCTCTCAGGCCCACCCTCCCGCTCTGCCAGTTGGCCCAGTCTTACCGTACTGCCACGCCGGGCGTGCCAGGAGACGCAGGCGCCGCATCAGCGCGGCAACAAGTGTCCCTTGACAAGCTCACGTTAACGGATGGCCACTATTCCGTGGTCAGCACCTATCAACTGAGAGCAAGACTTTGGAGGATGCAAATCCTGGACACAGCGGACATGCGCTCTCAAGACTGCTTAAATTTAATTTCACGTTACTTTTATTTCCCGGTGGAAAACAGTTTAAACTTTCTGGAAGCCTTTTTCCTAGAGTCAACATTCTATCGGGGGGGGAGGGGAACCTTGATAGATTTTCCCCCTGCAACTTCCCCTGGGATGTGGGGGCATTGGGGGGGTGCTCCTGGGAGCCTCTTCCTGCCTCAGCTCCAGCCTTAGCAGCTCCATCCTGCCGGGGCTCCCCGGGGAGGCTCAGGGCAGGGGTCTGTGCCATCTTGTCCTTGCGGTGGAGGGGTGGAGGCTGCCGCACCCCCCTCAGGCAGGCTGGCCTCGCGGTGGCGTTTCCCGCTGCTGGCTCGAACGTCAGTGGGCGCTGGCCAGCCCACTGAATGCGAGCGGCTCCCGGAGCCCGCGGCCAGCGACGTGTGCGTCGGCACCCGCATGGCACCCGCATGGCGCTGTGGAGCGCTGCTCACTGCCCAGCCGTCGGCGCTCTGCCAGAAAAAATTAATTAAGTGGACGAAGTTGGGGAGCGGCTGCCGATGGCCTCGGTGTAAATGCTGGACTCTCGCAGACATGCTTCTTGTCCCAGACCCAGACCGGGTCCTGCTGCCCCTGGCTCGGGCTCTGAGTCCGTGGGCACCTGTCTTCCCTCCCGCCGCCTTGCGCTGGTGTGTTTCGCGCCCAGGAGCAGGGCCCCCTCGCAGGCTCCAGCTGGCGAGGCGGGCACCGAGGCCTCCCGGCGGCAAGCTCTGCCCCTGCGGCCCTCGCGGGCGACGGCACTGGCAGCGCCTCTCGAGGCCCACGCCGCCTCTGGCTGTGGGTGAGGCTGTGTCTCTCCCCCGCAGGCGACACTGCCCGCCGCCGCCGAGGTCCTGGACGCCTCCCCGCTGGTGTACACGGTCAGCGCCCAGGAGTACTGGCAGCGGGCTCTGCTCAGCGAGGAGGAGACAGGTAACTGGGTCTGGTCTGTCCACCCCAAGGGGTCCAGATAAGTTGCCACTCTGAATCCCTCAGAGCGTTGCGAGCCCGCTGCCTGCTTGCGCTCTCCAGAGCACTCAGCAAACCCATCGGCTTTTCTTTCTGTCTTGTTTGGTGCCTGGGGCCACAGTTGCTCTCTCCTCCCAGTCTTACATTGGTCGCGAAGGGCAGGCAGCGCCTCCGTACTGGCCGGGGGCCGCACCCCGGCTCTGGTGTCAGCAGCACTGCCAGAGGGGCTCCTGCAGACTCAGTTTGCAGAGGGGAAAGGAGACCACATCGGCCCCTTCTCCAAGGAGCTTAAAACCCAGAAGAGGCGCAGATGCCCCGCGCTGTGTGACCCTCTCAGCAGAGAGGCAGCGGACTGTGCCCCGCGCCCCCAGGACAAGGCCCAGGGCCCGGACTCGGGGTGACTGTCCTCGCTGAAAGCTGGCCGAGTTCGTGGGGTCCCGGCGCCACACTGGTCTGAGCTTCAAATGGGTGCCAATGCGGCCGCCTCTCCCTAGGTGTGCACGGATGGGGAGGGCGTGCAGGTGTGCAATGTCCCCAAGCTGGGAACGGCCTCAGTGGGGACAGAAGAGGCCGTCGACACGGCACAGGTGGAGGCCAGAACACAAGCCCTCTTACAGGGGTGAGGGGGGCGTTATTTTCTGACACATAAAGGCGTCTCTCGGGTCCTTGTGGCCGCGCACCCCGGCTTTCTGCAGGGAGGGTTACTGGCGTAGCTAGAAGGATCTAGGCGGCCCGAGCGGGTCTCCAGGCGGGGAGCAGCTTGGCGCACAACTCAGGCCAGCGCGGCTACAGAGGAGCACACCTTCCCGCAGCTCGCCGTAGCGGTGTGCGGCCCACGCGGCCTCCACGCACGCCGGCCCGAGCCTGCTCTGCCCCGCAGGCCCCAGGCGAGGGCGCTGTCCCAGAGAGGCACCCGCCGTCGGACCCTGACCGGAGCTGCTGTGCTCGGCCAGCCCGCTCCGTCCATTTCGCCAGTGCTGTGGCTGTGAGCTCTGCCTCTGAGGCTTGTGCTGTCTGTGAATTCCAGAAGTCCCCAGGCTAAGAGAATCCATCAGGAAAAGGCTCTTGGACAAGAAGAGGAGGCGGGTGACCACGTATGTGACTGAGGCCTTCGGCTTGCTGCTCCTCACGGACAGCTTCAGCTCCATGGACACCCGGCCGGTAGGGGCAGCCTGAGCTTGGGAACCCCGCGCCCCCACCCCGAACCAGCCGCACTCCTTCCTTTGACCCGTCAGCAGACCCATTTGGGGTGTTTGTTGGGGTTTCCGATCAGAGGCAGGAACTAAGCTCAGAGACGCTAAAAGGACAGAGGGGTGCCTTAAGGTGGCCACTGGAGTGAACAGAGCAGAGCCATGTTCTGTGGGGACAGGCGGGGGCAGAGGAGGATGGAGGAGCAGCCCCCGGCCCCGGCCGGCCTCCTAGACCCCCGTGGGCCGGTGGGTGGGGGGCTGTTTACAGGAGGGCCTGGCCATTCACCAGCTGCTTTGCTTCGCCGCCGGGGTCTGTCCAGTCCCCAGCAGGCGGGCAGAGCACCTAGAAAGTCCACCCACCCCATGACTCACAGCGCCCTGCCTCGGCAGCCGACGCCCCTCACCATCAGCAGGCCCCTCCCTAACTCAGCTGCAGGAGCCCCCCGGGAGCTCAGCCCAACTTCCGCAGAGACCGGCCACACATGGCAGGGCCGTGGCCGACGGCCGGCAGCTTCCCGAACCTCGGTGCCGGGTCCGCCCAGGGCGGCCAGGGAGCACCCAGGCTGCAGTGCACCGGAGACTCGAGCTCTGGCTAGCCCCCTCGGGCAGCCCACCCTCAGCAGGGCCTCCCACTGAGGCCTCCCCGAATCCCTGCCAATCAGAGCATCCACCCGCCCCCCCTGCCGTGGCCGGCCCGAGACACTGGCTGGCGGAAAAGCCGGGGTGCAGCGCGGTGACTTTCCCCACGCCTGATAGTAGCCACAGCTGTTTCCTTCGCCCGGGGTCTCCCCACTCTCGCTTTGGCCCACCCCACGTGCACGCGGGAGCTGCTGACACACAGAACAGGGACGGGCAGGGTGGGGGTCCCCAGGCTGGGAACTGGGCGGCCTGGGAGAGCCCGGCTTCCCGCGGGAGGTGCGCGCCGCTGTGGGGTCACACTCCCACCTTTGAGCGATTCCGCAGAGAAGGGACCCCGAGCCAAGCGCACCGTCCTGGAGCGAGGGGGAAAGAGCCGCCTGCGTCTGAGCCTTTCCGCTTGGAGTTTTGTCCTCTGAGAAACTGGGGGGAGGGTTTGACCTTCTAAGTTCCCGAGAAAGTTGTTGAGGGTGAAATTGCCTCTCTGCCCAGCAAAAGATTGCTTTTGGAAGTGCTGATGGAAAAGGAATCAGACGCGGTGCGTGTGTGGCTGGCTTAATTTAAAAACACAAGGTCAAGGCACTTTGCAGTCAGACTCCACGCCTGCCGCGAGCTGTCTCGCGGGGGTCAGCGGCGCCGGGCCAGCGCCCACGCCCCGCGCCAGGGGCCACGGGCGGAGGGGCGCCCGGGCTGGCCCTCGGGGTCGCCAGCAGCGTGCCGCCGCTTACCCCGGCCTCAGACAGCGGCCCTGGTCTCTGTTCTTTGATAGAAAGATGGAAGGCAGCAGCTGCGTCAGATCCTTGGCGTTCAGAAAAAGGCCAAACCGACCTTTGGTACGATTGTTTGTTAAGGTTTTGAGCGTGCTGAGGTTGGCACCCTCGCTCCCAAATTTTGTTCAGGGGTCAACTGGATTTGAAGATGCTTTTCTCCTGGACTAGGAGCCTACTTTTTTCCTTCGAAAGAGGGGCCCTGTCTTCATTTTTGTCCTCCTTAGTTTTGCTCTTCAAAGCGGGGTTCAGGACCCAGACAATCAGCACCCCTGGGTGCTTGCTAGAAATGCAGAACCCCAGGCCCGAAAGTGCTAGCAAACCTGTCCCCCGGTGGGTTCGCACGTCTCGGTCTGGGAAGCACCGGCCTCAGCCACTGTGCGCACAGCTCATTAAATCTTTGTTCACGTGTTACGACATTGAAAAAACCTGTTTTAGTGACAGTTGGCTTTTGGGGGTAATAACCCTGCCCTCCCAAATAGCCTGACACACCCCAGGACTTGCAGGGGCGCGCTGGCTCTGCTCCGGAGCCCCACGGGCCCTCGGGAGACCTGGGCACCAGCACTTGCGTGCGCTGGCTGGGGTCACCGTGGTGTCTCCGAGGCTGAGTAGCCCCACGCTGCAGCCGCGTGCGGGAGGTGTCCGTGGCCTCGTGCTCCTTCCGGCCTCGTCCCTAGAGCGAACCCTTGCACCTGAGCGGCCTGCGGAGATTTGTGGAAGAGGAGATCCAGCGGCTGGAGAGGGCCGTGGACCAGTGCTTTGCGCGCCTCCAGCAGCCCCTGCAGGAGGGCGTCAGGCGCGCCAGGGCCTCCTACCGACGGACCCTCGGGGCCTGCCTGGTGGTGAGTGGCCCTGGGCGGGGCAAAGCCCTGTGGGACCCCAAGCTGTTTACCACCCTGTTGCTTTCGAAGGACACAGAGAGCTATAGCGGAGACGGGGAGCAGGGAAGCCGCCCCGGGAAGCAGCTAGAGGGGATTAGTCACCCAGGAATGCGCTCGTGGCGGGCAGAGCTGAGCTGGAAGTGAGGCTCAGAGCATGCGGTGTGGGGAGCAGCTCCCCTGACTCCCTGCGGGCCCTGGGCGAGGCCCTAAGCCCACCCAGAAGGGCGGGAGTTCCGCATACTCCCTGGCTCTGGGAGGGCTGGTGTGCGTCTGGGCGAGAG